AGTTTAATATATTCCTACTTAACCCCTTAAAACGTTTTTTTTTTTCAAGATAAATCCCAAAACGTGCAAGCGCGGAACGGACTATGTACACTGCGCGACGTTGGCTCTTTTCTCGAATTTTACTTTGAGATGGTGTTAGTAGGCACCAAAGTATACCGCTTAGGTCTCTGGCCCAGATGAGCACTTCTAAAGACACTAATAGTTTTGAAAACTGCGTTTTGATTCTATGAGATAAACATAAAAACACGACGATCGCTTGTTCGCGCTAATATAGTGTCGCACTCTGTGCAACAAGGGAGTCTAGAATAACGTACTCAAGCACTTTGGGCAAGCTAAAATTAGCATCGCCATAGGTTTTACATCGCAACGCCATTTTTACGGTACCAAAGCGCTTGCGTACGTTTTTCTAAACCTTTTTAATAGTGAACTAGATATTTTTGAGAGCGATGAATCAGACAGGTTGACAAGCATATGACTGGGACTTTATTTTGTTTACAATTTATAACACTGAACCCTCGCTCACACGGGAAAAGCTTGAAGGCTTTCTAGCTTCAAGACGTCTTTTAGTTATTATTTTTAACGACGCTGTAGTGAATTTGCACTTCGCTTTTTTTTGTATTTAATGAACCTAAAAGATTAATGAGCAAACTTCTTGCTATCAACAACAATTTATGATTTACGGCACAAGATTGCCCAGGCACGGCCCGGGCCGGCCCGGGCCGAGAACTTTTTTGTTCAACCCCGAGCCTGGCCCGGGCCCGAGAAAATACGTGCTACCCGGCCCGAGCCCGGCCCGCGGGCCGGGCCGGGCTCGGGCTTTTGGGCTGGCCCGGGCCCGTGCAGTGCTCTAGTTCTTCCATAGTCTGACGGAGGGCGTGCACCCAAAACGTCGCTTGTTTCCTTTGCCCTTCTTTTTGCGTGTCATATCTTTCATGCATCTAGTTTTGTGCCCACCTTTACGTGCCAGCAGCACCCCACTCTTGGGTCCCCTAAGCTTGCCTAAGCTGTCTGAAGCCTCATGCCCATCACTCTTGCCCACTGGCGCTGTGTGGCTCACCAGAGCCATGGAAATTCCTTTCCACAATAGCGTTTCTTCCTTTTCTCCACTTCCCTTGACTCCCTTCATTCCGTCAAAGGGATGGCTTCCCCCCTTAGGCGCTTGGTGGCAGAGCTTGGTCCCAGATATAATGCGAGGTGCATTTTGAGGACCAAAATTTTCAAGAATTCCTCGTGTTGTACTCATGCAAATATGGTGATCATAAGCACCAGTTTAAAATCCCGAATGATATTGATGCATATAGGTATTTGTTTTTTCCAAGATCCATACGTGACTGGAATAACCTTCCGCAGAATATTGTGTTGATAAACTGTCCATGAGTATTTGCAAATGCTTTGTTATATCTATGAGGTATAACCTATACATATGTTGTATTTTTTCTTGTTCTTGCCACAGGAAGTGATAACTGGTGTTGACTGTTGGGGTTTATTTTTATTTCATACTACTGAAGTGTACCTCAATTAGTTTCTTTTATTAATTTTATACACATTGTCGGGGGCAGTATTGTTCTGGTTATTTTTTGCTTTCTATTGCATATTTTATGTGAACTTTTATTGTATATTACATGGGATATGCCCCATATCTGTCACAACCCCTGCTAGGGGTAAACAATATTCATAAATAAAGTTTAAAAAATAACCGCGTCCCCTGAACTGCGGGCTCTTCGGCACACTTCTCAAGGAGGCACGCACAATCAGGGCCAGTAATTGGCAAAACGGTTAAAGGGGTACTATATTACTTTCTGCTATAGTTTATTTATGGCCATAACTCAATCTATCGTTTCTAAGCATCTTAGTAAACCAAACATTACATTCATGCGTGGTCGATGGTATCAAAAGATCAATTTCTTCGGAACTGTTGCTGACACCAGAGGGCACCAATGCACAAGGAAGGGCAGGGCTTTGCCCTTTCTCGTCCAATGGCACCATCTGGGGTCGAACTTGTGATACCGATTTTAATAGAGAAATTGGCCTCGCATGAATGTAATGTTTGGTTTTTTAGGATGCTTACAGCCCATAGATTGAGATATGACCATAGATAGACCATTGAAGAAAGTGGTTCGGTGCCCCTTTAAAGAAGTTCTTGGTGGGCCTGTCCTGCTGGTCTATCATTTTTTATGTAACTTGAGTTCCTGCTTGTGAGCAGCAGATATATCCAGGCAAATTGTATGCAGTTGATCAGAAGAACATACAACCCGCCAGTGTTAGCTTTTAAAAACTCAGCAAAGGCGATAAGTGGCAATAATACTATCGTATAATATATCAAGCGAGAGTGCCCCCAAAAGTTGGAGGTAAATCACGAAAAGTAAAAATGGGGGCGGTGTGAAAGCGGGAAAGCAGCAGATGCATATGCTAGGGTATTCGCTCGCTTGGCCCTTGTTTGATCAAAAAGAATGGTATATGAGCAGTATTGGGGTCTGAGAGAAAAACTAAGTTTCAAAGCAGCCATGTCGCCATCATCAAGCCTGCTATTTAGCAGCACTCTTGCATAAAGCTTTACTGTATTGCACCTGCTTCTTGGAGAAGCAGTTGACATAAGAGAGTATTTAGATTAGTTCAATGGGCTCAGAAGTTTGCTGGAGTGAGTGCTTCATATTTTCTTTGCGCTTGATATTTGAACTGTTTCAAAATTATGGAGTACAGGCATTTTTTGCGACATAGGCGCAAACTCAGTAATTTACCGTAGTTGTTCTCGAGTATGCTGGAGGCATCTTTTCTAGAAAAGGTAACTTCTATTAAACAGTTAGCAGAAGTTGCATACTCTACAGTCAAATCTCGTTAATTCAAACTCGATGGGGACCGCAAATTTGTTTGAATAAAGCAAATGAATTACCGGGAGTTTCCTCCCATGGAGACACATAGGATGGGACCTGCATGTTTGTTTGAATTATCCGTAAGTTTTAATTAAGAGAGTTTGAATTGACGAGACTCCTCTGTACTTTGCTTTACCGCAACTTGACAAAGAGTGAATGCAACGGCCCCCTCGAGCCAATCAGAATACACAGATGCGAACCACGCAGCAGCCCTTACCAAGGGTACGGGGGTGAGAGCGTACCAACCAAGCAGTTGGAGAAGAGGAGAAAGAGAAACTCTTTTTTAACTTAGACCCCAGTGATGTGATTGCTGTGCCAAACTGTGCCAAGGGGCTAACCCTGCTACATCCTGCTACATTTCGCCAAAATATGGGTAATCTGCACCAAGCCTGCGCCAAAGGACCAATTTAGGTCGCCTTTCAAAACCAAAACTAAACTGAGTACTGTAATTGAGCAGGCGTGTGTTATGTGGCGCAAGCGGCCACCTGACACAAAGTACCGTGCATCAATTGTCCACCCAGTCTTGCATGGTTTTCCGGGCGTCTCGCGTTTCGCACTCCCTCTTGTGGGTCTCGTCTCTTGTCTCTTTTTTTTTTATTATTTTCAGCGATAGACGCGGATGTGTGCAGACGCTCCGACGCTAGCGTGCGGGGTACCGGCTATCCCATCATGCTGTGAAACGAACCACGTTTTTGCGCGGCAGGAGTTGCTTTGTGAGCTGAGGCAACGGCCGTGGGAAAACTATATTTGGCCACTGCCTTTCAGTCACCGTGGTCGCGCGACATCGAATGGTGCCATCCCCACATCACTGCAGATATGGTACTTTCTAAAATGCAACTAAGTACCGCCGCATGTTCATCAACATTCCTGTTCTGGTTTAAATCATACGTTACAACAAAAATCCATCTTTAATTCAAAGACTGCTCTGTCAAAGTATTGATTATGTTGATTCCTCTCGGTGGGCTTTCTTTCGAGAAGGACCTAAATACGTGAAAAATCTGCCGTGAAAGAAAGTTGGTGAAGAGAAGTGAGCTAAAGCAAAGAAGGCAATGTCTGCACGCTGAATTCGCACAGCGTGGTTGTTTGTCTCGAGTTCAGTCGTTGCACAAAGCGCTCCAAGAATGTTTCGAGGCTGGCTCGCAATGTCTTGCATCGATGCACTCAGGCTCTTTATTTTTGTGTTTAGCTTGTACCTTGTTTGCCGGCCTGGCAAGCACGCGCCACTGAACTGTTTTTGTTGCATGCTCGTAGGTTACATTTTGTGTGCAATTTTGGGGATAAGTTAGCGACGGAGCTGAGGGGCAGGGTTCCGGTTTCGATCGGTCAGCCGTTTTCTGCGCTCGCGTGACGAAGCATGCCCAACAGCAAGCCTGCCGAAGTTGGCCTCATGTGCATGCGAACATCATTGCGTGACTGAGGCACCAGCTGGGACGCTTGCAATTTATTGTTTTACGTTTACTTTCTTTTGACGAAAATCTGACACGTCGGGAACCAGTAAAACAGTGGCAAGCGGTTTTTCGAAATTGCTTGGCAATGCCTACAGCACTGTACACTTGTGGAATGTCTGAGCAGTAAAAACAGAAGCAGCGAGTTCCGTCACAACACTTCCCATCAGAACACAACACAACACAAAGTTCCCTTCATTTGTACAGCACTTAAAACAAATATTTTGATTTTCCTAAGAGTATCTGCTCCAAAATCCACTTTTGCTGCTCCGAAACACTGTCCTGGCTGCTCCAAAAGCCGCTTTTGCTGCTCCAAAACACTGTTTTGGTTGCTCCAAAGGCCACATTTGCTGCTCCAAAACGCTGTTTTGGTTGCTCCGAAACGTGCGCCAAAATGGCTCAGGCCAATCACATCACTGAGACCCTCTTTTGTCTGCCCCAGACATAATTTTTTTCCCCCTAGAAGGTTAACCTGTCAAAAGCAGCTCTCCCTCCTGCCCGTGGCTTCCACAGCACTGCTCGAACTAGTCAGAAAGACTATTTTCACGTGCCTTCCTCTATCTGGATCGAAGGGGCCGTAGCATTTGCTGCTTACCAAGTTGTGGTAAAACGAAGCATAGGAACCGTACCTAAGCCACATCCAGTGGCATTGCTCGAAAATAAGCCGAAGTTTTGTGTGCAACAGGTGTCTCCGACAGACTACCACCGGTTCATCTACAAGTGCCACACTTGCCTCCTGGGCTTCAAGCGGCGGGGCATGCTGGTGAACCACCTGGCCAAGCGGCACCCGGACGTGCGGCCAGACTCTGTGCCGGAGCTGAACCTCCCCATCCTGAGGGCCACTCGGGACTACTACTGCCAGTACTGCGAGAAGGTGTACCGGTCCTCTTCCAAGCGCAAGGCGCACATCATCAAGAACCACCCCGGCGCTGCCCTGCCCATGAGCAACCGCATCAAGGTGTGGCATTCAGGACCATCAACCCTACGCTATGAGTTGCGAATATATTGCCGTTGGTCTCCAACTAGTGTTGTTAACACCGGGCAACTGTAACAAAGATCTGTAATGCGAGATTAAGGTAATTTTAAGCGGTCTATTATTTCAGATATTTGAGGTTGGTTGTCTCAGTAGAACAGATGAAATGAACACTAGGAAAGTCCATAACTAAACCATCAAATTTACTAGAGGCTTTTGGGAGCTTATTGCTATCCAGTATCGGCCATATCATTTAATGAGGGAAGCTATTGTGACACTGTAATGGGATACAATTTTCCGAGGTGCCATAATTTTCTTATTTTTCATCCAGTCTTTATTCACATGGGTATGAAGTGTACTAATCAAGACATAAAAAGCAGCTGGTACTGATTTCATGCACAATTATTGCGTGAGCTTCAGTTCTAAACGATGACGAGGGGACATTGAGCAAACAGCACGCGAGTGGTTCATATATAGTGCTGGCCCGGTACAAAACCCACCCTTAAACTACTTAAACTACTAGCAGCAGATAGACAACGAGCGACAGAACGAGTGCACATACTGGTGTCCTTCCAGGGTGGCGTGCCCAGCGTCCCTGGAGAGCCCAACCCGACCTTCTCGCACATGGTGGGCAGCGTGACCACGCAGCCGCATAACTGCTGTCTGTGCCACAAGCAGTATGCCAGCAAGGCCAAGCTGCTCCAGCACCAACGCAAGAAGCACATGGACATGATCGCACTCACGCTGGTCAGCAGTGCCCAGGTGAGGCCGGTGCTCGCAATTCCGTAATGGAGAAGTCTCACGGATGTTTACAGAGTCTAGCAACATGGACAATGCTCGTGATCCTTGTTGGATGGACAGGGTCACATTATACTTACCTTTCCAGTATAGCAAGACTTAATTAATGCAATGGGGGACACATAGTACTGTTATCTTGGGGATAGGCAACATTTCACAGCCCTAGGCCAGTTGTGTTTTAGAGCCTTTTTTTTTTTCTTTATTTGTTCTGTGGATATTTTTCCGCATGGAAAAAGTCCCTGATGGAGTTTCTGCACACCCCAAAAGTTTGGCCGTGGCAGATAAGGTAGGAGTGTCATATACAACAGCAAAGCGACAAAGCAGAACTAATATACACACTTCGGAAGCCGCAATCACGGGATCGCTCAAGCCAAGCAAAGCGCACCATCAATAACAACAAAGCAACAAGGCAACACAGCAGAGTGAAGATTAGATTATACACAGGCAATCAGCTGAAGTAGTAAAACAAGTGTCATACATCATATTAATAACATCATTAACGTTGGTCATCAGCAAAATAATGCACTCTGTACACACAAGAAAAAGTACATTCAGGTAGGTCACTAGCATAGAACTTTGACCAAGAAAAAAGAATGGTCTAAATTCATACACGTAGCGATCAAGAATAAGATAATTTCAGAAATAAGAAAAGAAAAAGAAAACTTCACTATGAAAATGTAATAGTACCACCAACCAGAAGCGTTCTGCATTTACTTTTGAATTTATGGAAAGTTGTATTATAGTCTATGTTCATATCTGTATTGTTTAAAATTTTAATTATTTGTAAAGTTAAAGTTTGTCGGCCATAATTTGTTCTTATTGTGGGCATTTTTATCTTTGAATATTGAAGCGTATATGCGCTCACTCTATTTGTTGGGGTGGTGTGCAGTTCATTCTTATGTATCCATTGTAACAGTTTAAAAGTAGTAAACCTGGTCTGCCTTGAGAATATTATATTTTACAAAGAGTGGCTGTGTGCTTAAGTTTCTTTTATCACCTCTATAGTTTTCACATATACATATTCTTTTTTGTAATATAATTATTTTATTGTAGTTCGAAGCTGTTGTTGTTCCCCAGACCAATATACTGTAAGTAATTTGTGTGGCCTTAAGGAAACAAGCAGGTTTGTGCGAATATTGAAGATTTTGAATACAGTAAAACCTCGTTATAACAAAATGGGATATAACAAACTAATGGATATAACAAAGTAATCATAATTCCCCTTGCTTGCTATAGTGGGAAGAAATAGATATTGGCTATAACAAACTAATGGTTATAACAAAACAATTATGAACGCTCCTTCAACTTTGTTATAACGAGGTTTTACTGTATGAATAGAATATTTTTCTTAATCGATTCATATTTTACTTGAAAATTGCTTATTTGAAAATGCCGAATATTCGGTCTATGTACGAATATTCAATCACATTGCGAATAATCTGCACGCAGGACATGCCCTGAACATTCAGAGCTAAAAAAGCCGTGTTTGGTTGCCCAAAAATCGCTGGTGTTGTAGCCTTTTTTTTTTTTTTTATAAATCCTTACCGTTTACGTTACTAGTAGAACTGCCATGTTTGCGCAATTCTAATGCGCCCCCAAATCTAACGCGCAGGCGGATTTAACTCCCAAATGTTCAAGAATTAAATTGATGCCAATCCACCGTGCAGGTAAAATAATGAAGGTTGAGCACATACCTCATAGAACAGGTTTTATAAAACATGTGCCGGCACAAACATGAAAACCGTGCACTAGTCGCCATTGTTGGAGTCCGATGATGGTCCGCAGAGGTAATTCTTACTTTCTTTCTAAAAAATTTTGAAAGCCATGCTTTTCGCGCTTGTACGAGTGCGCGACTGTCGCCTTTTGGAGGACGTCTTTCAAACAACACTGCGTAGGGTGACCACCCGTCCCGCGACTCGCGGGACTGTCCCGCATTGAGGGCTCGTGTCCCGCGTCCCGCAAGAAATTCCCAAATCTTCAAAATGTCCCGCATCTGATACTGTCGTAAAACTCACTCTGCAAGTCATGGTGCTGCCGAACAACGGGGCACGGGGAAGCGCGGAGGTCGCTGGTAATTGTGTGAATCCCAATGGGACGCCATTTTTTTTCAAGCATTGCGGGAAGTGACTGTCGTTCTTGCGGGAGATTTAACGCGCATGTTCCGTTGTATATATCTCTCACCTTGGTAGCAAAATATTGTAAGAAAGATTGCTCGCCAAAAGTTTAAATATAAATATTGTAATTATTTCCTAATCGCTTGTCAATTCAAAAGGGCTGCTGTGAATTTTTTTTAGTGAAGACAGTCACACAAGGCAAAAAGCCTGCAACTCGGAATGGTCGAAAAATAACATAATGTTAAAAATTTGTGTAGGACCATGTTGATAAAAGTAAGCGTTGACAGAAAAAAACAATAACGCGAAAAAGATTTACTGTTTCTTAATTTCATTTTGTGCATTGAGTTCTGCTGCAGTTGATTTTTCCGCTTTCAATTTCAACAAATTTAATAACATATTTGGCATAAAAGAACATCACTGGGAGCGCAAACTATTTTGGCCTATTTGCTGCAATACAATTTGAAGGTGTATGGACAGCACAGGATATTAAATATTTTAACACAGCCTCGGTTCGTGGTGTGCGTGTTCATAAAACTCCTTTCCCCTCCCCCTCCCCTGTGTCCCGCATTTCACTAGCAGGAAGGTGGTCACCCTAACACTGCGAGCTCGTCAGGTCGCTGACATTGCGAGATCATGCAGTGATGCTCCGTTGTTATCTTTTCCCAACAGCGTGATGACTTGTTTTTCTCGTGTAATGAACGCATTTATAATTTTCGGCTCCACGAGTCTTGAACTGCGTCCAACTTAGCTAGCTGGCTAGCCACCAAGCCCGCCAGTTTTCTTTTGTCGCCAAGCGGCCAGGCCAAGTCAAGCCAATCCAAGCCACTCTCGTAATGGCTGCAATTGCGTGGTTGCGAAAATGATCAACCGTGAAACGGAGCGGCACGCTCTTGACGAAGCTTGGGTCAAGGAACTGCCCAGCCCCAGACATTCTTCGCCTATCGGACGCATTGACGTCGACAAACCTGCCGTCGTCTGTGGTCCGCTTTCGGACAGTGAAATCGTGAAATTGTTTATGTTTAAGAACGGTTGCGTTGTTCTCCATGCTGACTGAGCTTCGTAGGGCGCTTTTCCTTCAGCAGAAAGCACACTGAAAGTGCACTAAAAAGGTTTGCAGTTTATAAAGCATGGTTACTGTGGCACGCCCACGGCCAGCCATAGACGTGCCTCCATCAGTGGGGGCGTGCCACAGTACCCTGCCACGTCATATTGGCACCTAAAATGACATTTGCACAAAGTGTGTACATGCAAAAATTTTACCTCGCGTAATGAACGCCCCCCCAAATATGTCTAAATTTTGTGGAAAAAAAGGTGTGTTCGTTGTTTGTGTAAATACAGTATACATACCAAGTATTCCAAGTCTTTTTTTTTTTTCGGTTTTTGGTTTTGATTGTAAAGCCTCTGTATTTTTGGGCTCCCATTTGGGCGAAAAGAAGTGAGCGTTAGAATAATGGAAACAAATTAATTACGTTCACAACAAAGGAGCGGTTTTGGTTTTCATTTTGCCAAGCTTGTATTGTAAGCAAGTCACTTTTCTAGCGACCTTATATTTTAGGCTGCAGGAGCAAGGATATTTTCTGCTGCAGGAACAGTTGTCACTGCGAAAAGGCCAGAGCACTTATGCACTGAACACCTGGAACAATTAATGTTCTTGCATGATAATTTGCAATAATTGCAATAGCAGCTGATATCTAACTTGTAGCTAGTCAAGGGAAATTTTAATTATTTTCTTAAAAAAATGTTATCACCAGTTTTTTGTGTGATAACATTACAGGTTGCATTTTTACATGCTATCTAAACGTTCAGTTTTGTCCACTCATAAGTTTGCCAATTTGTATAACCTATGAGTTGCACCTTTTTCCTGCTTTCATGTACAATTGACAAGTAATTTCTAGTCAAGGTACAATAGCTGTGTTACTAGTTGCATTGTTTATATGCTGCCTAGTCCAGTTGTTTCATTTACTTGAAGTTGTTAACATAATTTTCGATTTTGAAGGTAATAAACAAAATATTTGCATATTTTATTTTGTTAGTTCTTAATGGTTCACACATATTTGAAACATATTCAATATTTGAAGTATTTTTTTCTGAAATTCATATTTGATTTGTATTTGAAAATTTCTATATTTGCACACCCCTAGAAACGAGCCTTCAGGTAGCAAGCCAATTGGTACAACAGCATACCATTCTGTCCCAACATTAGCAAGGATAAGAGGGAATCATTGAATTCCAGACTATTATTTATAATACTGGTAGCCCTTTTGGGCAGTCTGGAGAGTGTGCTTTTTTAACAACAATAGAACATGAAAAAAAAAGGAACAGCAAGGAATGAAAAGAAATGTCTCGCTTCTTTAGTCAGTTTTCATGGAACTAGAAGTTTGTGATTACCCAATTTCAAACTGAAGAAAACAACATAATTACTTATTTATAATTTATTCACTGCCAATCCTAGGAAGGAATCTGCAAGAACAGACATTCATTTGTGAATTTATGTTCTTGCAGATACTATAACAATTTTAAATGTGCGTTTCTCACTTAGAGCTTTCTTGGGTAAGCTTTGAGTGCTTTCTGAATGTTGTCATAACCGATCGTGTCAGTCCACTTCAATGTTCAAAAATTTCCAACATATTTACTGCTGTCATGTTCATGTTAAGCATGTCATGTTCCTGGTTAACTGTTTTTCTAATATGCACATTATCACTTTGTAGAATATGGTGTGTTTGTTAATAAGTAATGAGAGAAAGAAAAACAGATATTTGGTCCCAGAAGCACGCTTATCTTCCCAGACAGACCTCAAAGTTTGCCTCTCCCTTGTGCACTTCAGGTATTATTTAATCATTATGAGAAAACACATATGTCATGCTCCAATTGTTTGCAAGCTGTGCCTTCCATCACTGCATAAATTCTGTCCTAATTCATGTAATAGTACTACATACCATCATACTCGTTAAAAGTTTATTTGTGTAAGGACTCATCCGATGGCACTCGCTAGTTTTCCAGTGGGTTGAGCGACTCATGCCATGACAAAGTTTCCTTACCCCCCGACGCAGGCCAACGGCAACAGCCGCAGGAGGGAGGCAGACCTGCTCACAAGGGCCATGTCGGAGTTGACCCAGACCCTGACGGACTTTCGGCAGGGCTCTAACCCCGCGTCGTTCCTCTCGGGAGGGCCGCTCGAAGAGGACCCCGAGGAGTCCGAGGCCGTGGGGGACCAGGTCGTCTCGGACGCCCTGGACTCCTCCGTGGACAACGACGAGGTGGCAGGAGCCACCCTGGACCAGGCTCAGATTAATCAGCTCCTTGCTCAGTACCAGCAGCAGGCCGCACTTAGGTGAGTCCCTCCTGGACTCTACAGTATGTCCCAAGAGGGTCCTTGAGGCTCTGAGGCATGGGTTCTTGAACTAGTTTCCTGGGTAACCCGGGAGTTGCCAGAGATGTAGGGGTTCCCTGAATTTTAAAATTTCCAGGACCATCCCTGCCCTTAGTGTTTTACCAGTTTAAATAGTACTATTTTAGAAGTTCTCAGCCACTCACTACGGCACGACTATGTGCCAAAGACTTCCAGATAGGAGTATGTGCATTATTGCTTACAAAATCTCTAAGCGTCTGTGCTACTTTATGGCATGAATGCTGAGACCAGGGGGGGGGGAGGGGGGGAAGAGAGAGGAGAGGAGGAGGAACAGCCATTTTCTGGTTATCAAAACAGACCGGGGGGGAATGGGGGTGTGGAGGAAAGGGGTAAGAGTCATATCTTCTGATTGCCAAAACCAGAAGATGACTGTTTGAAGGTTAGGTTTGGTTTTGCTCTCGTTAATTTTGTGCATGATTTATGTCTAATTTTATGAAGTTTTAGGGAATCAAAAGATGCTCCCAGGGCTGTGGGTGCGTGGCTGCTGCTTTATGGAGCTATGTAGTGACCATGTGTTGCTAGCTACTATGCTCTGCCTCACCTTAAATGGCCGCCGACTACCCCAACATTAACACTTTTTTACAGCGGAGCTTTTTCCTTTTACTCTCAATGTGGCGTAACCGGCATTTAAAGGGACGTGGACAATGGGGAAGTCGGCAACAACTCGAATTTGTTTTTTTAGAGCGCAGCTCTTAGGGGCCCGTTTTCGGCTTGAGCGGCGTCACCGTCGCCGTAATTGCGAGGTCACGTGACCCCCCCCCCCCCCCCCCCCCCTCCCCCCCAGGTCACGTGACCCCCCAAGTCATGTGACCCCTCAAGCAACACCTCCTAGAAATAAGGCCGTAGCGCTCTTCTCGTGACGTCGCAAAGTAAGGCCATCGGGGGCACGTGTCGAAGCAAAGGCAACGCGCGTGGATCGACCGTCGTAACACGCTTTTCGTCAGATACGCGTGTCTTATTAGCTAAAATTAAAGCTGCACATTGCAACGGGTCTAAGAAACATTTCATTACACGGGCAAAACATTACACCGCTAAATAATCTATGCGAAATGGCACAAGGTATGCGTAGAAGACGTCTATAGAAAATTGTGATTTTTTTAACCCATAGAGTTAATGTATAACATTGATCGAAATTTCGCATGCTATAAAGCTTATTGTTCTATATTTCATACATAATTTATGTGATTTCCTCAGTTTATAGCCACAAAACAGCCGCGATAGCACCGCTAGCTTAGTCGCTGCTATTTTGGTTGTTTTGATTTTGCCTTGTAGCCTCAATACCACGTCCTATGCATCAAACAAGCTGGGTTGAGGCAATAGTTGGGTTTTCCGGTTCCTCTATAGCCGACGTCGCCACTGTCTGCCCATTCTTATGGTTCTTCCAGTTGTTCTCGTGGTCTGTGTTGCACAAGTGCATATTTTATACAAATATATTTCAACAAAATGGCGAGACATGCAGTGATTGGACACAGCAATACAGATCAGTTAAAAATCAGGTAGACATAGCCAACACGAACACGGCTCGATAAGAGTCACATATGATCATGTAAGTGATGTTATTGCGTGCAGTCATTGAATTAAAATTAATGTAATTTCAATCGAATGACAAAATGGGGCCAACAAACCAGCTGGCGACGCTTATATAATCACTCAAAACAGTGAGCTGATTAAATCCCGTATTATTTAATAAAAATATATTAACTTTTCCGTGTGGGAGGGGTACTAAACTTACTATTTACAGTCAACTAATTTACTTCTCCCTATGGGTTTGAGCTGCCTAAGAACAAATTATAGCCTATTTTGTATACAACAATACTATTACCAGAATACAGTTAAGATTCTAGTATAAACGCAGTAAAGGCAATAAAATAACATTACTATAAATAAACACATAAGCACAAACAATGCGCTTTCAATAATCACACAAACTTGCTAGTTACCTTCCAGTAAAAACTAGAATATTACCACGCATATTTACAAATGTGGACGCAATAGTAAACAGATAACGACGAAGAACAAAATTTCATTCTATCACGAAATTTAAAATAAAACCGACTGAAGCACTTTACTTGCGTCTTACATGACCAAGAAAGCCTGTAAATAAGGTGTTCCTCACCTGTCAATCGTATCCATACGTCCCACACGATTCATCGCGAAAACATTTGAACACAAACTTCTAGAAGTCTCTCTCTGTCCAAAGAGAGGTCATCGGCCAGTGTCATCGTTGACTAGTTGCCACACGCGTCACTCAAACCGTAGCAGGACTTGTTTCGCGAATCCACGTAAATGCCGTAGTATCAAGCGATCACAAAAAAAAAAAAAACTACCCGAGACTGCGGTGACGGCAAAAAAATGATGGGTAGGAGGATCAAAAAAACCACACACACACACACACACGCGCGAGAGCAGCACCAGCAGTGTGGGATGAGAGGCTTAACATTGTCGACCCTTCTCTTGCTCGCGTGCGCTCCCTCCCTGCGGCAATGACTGGATTTTTTTTCAGTTCCTTTCCGTTCTGAAATGTCTCAGCATACCTTTGCAGACAGTCAGCTGCTTACACGCAACTAAAATTTACCAGAATCGGAGCCCGTACAAAGGAACAAGATGTCGCATCGGAAATTCGGAGCCGGTTCAATCGAAAAGTGTGGGGAGCTGCGAGACTGCAGGTAGTCCTGCGGTTACGGGGATAATCATAAATATAAACTTGGTACTTGCAACCTTTGTAACGCGTTGTATATTATGTTTATATTGTATGTATAATAAATTGTACAAGACTGCACTTTTAAAACGTGTGTTAATGTCGGATAAACGCGCACAAACATTACCGCGCCGCTCGAGGAAAAACATTTTTTTCATGTTGATACGCGTCGACAGGAGAGAATTTTCTCACGTAGTTGCGCCTTCCTCCTCTGACGTTGTGACGTGCCCACTCGGAGTGCTACGGCCTTATTTCTAGGAGGTGTTGCCTCTACCCCCCAAGGTCACGTGATCCCCCAAGGTCACGTGGCCCCCCAAAGTCACGTGACCCCCCTGACGTCATACGACCCCCCCCCTGAGGTCACGTGACCTCAAGGAATCACCTATCCCTCAGTACGCTTCCATCCATTAACAATTCCTCCTCAAGAGCTGTGCTCCAATCTGGCGTTACAGGGAATTGTAAACGGCTTCCATTTTTTTCTTTTTTTTTTTTTTGTGCCAGATAACTTCTCACATTTTGAGAGAGGAATTGTTAAGCGATCAAGAAGTTAGGGCTGTACCTCATGTCGCTCACCAGTGTATGCAACACATCATTTTCCTCTCGAAAGCTTTCAGAAATTGACTGATTTGGTGGTTTTAGATGATGCTCAGCAAGTTTTCATTTGGAACCATACATTCATTTTCACCGAAATAAAAGTTAATTAACAAATATTTTAAGTTATCCTACTTATCGTGAGGATTAAGATTTAACAAACAGAACGTAAGGGTGCAAGTGATCTGGTGTATACTGAACATTTTGGATGTTCTCCTTCTCTTCTCTTGGTGTCATCTTTCGTATTTCTCCAGTCTAGGGTTGCTTCAAAATGTTCATTCATATTTCTCTACCTCTTCAGGGCAAGTTTAGGCTCAATTTTCTAGCTCGCACGTAACCATGCACAGTGTGGGGCGATCATGTGCTATATGCCTGATCGTTTACTGTAGCACGTGACCATGAATGGTATGGTAACTTGTTGATGGCGATGAAACGCAGTGCAAGCGGTGAAGCACATCCAGACGCCCCTGTGGTCTCTGTGGCCGATGTCGTGGTGGCACCGACATCGTCAGCTAGCTGGACCATTGTCTCGGTGACAGCTTCAGGAGAAGACTTTGAGCAAGACTTTTCTGCAGCATGAGCACGTTGCGAGCTTTTGGCAAACACCACACGTTTAGCAAGAGAGTGCTGGTTAGGATTGAGTTTCCTTTTTGTGCTCTTTGTACAAGTTTTTGAATTGTACAGCCTTTTTTTCAAACAGTGTCCCACTTGTTGTACTGGTGAATGGTGAATTGTTTAAATGAACTGTGCACGTGATTGTTGTGTTACTTGTATGTCCAGATTACCTAGTCAGTGGTATGAACTCTTGGATGGTGTTACTAGTAGTAGGCAAATGTCAATTTTTTTTACCAATCTTGATTCTGTGTTTAAATTGTTCATAAACATCTGATTTTATCCTGAATGCATGTTTTCACAATTTCAACATACCATGGTTACCTTGGTCAAAAGTCAAAGATGAATTTTCTATGGTTGTGGCTTGAAGATCTTTAAGCCCTCTTGCAAATTTATAAACCAATGTTGTGATCTACTAGGGCTATGTGTAAGGTGATTATTTGAGTCTGTGACACAAATTACAGTCCAGGTATGTGGAACTTAGAACAGCAGCATTTCAGCATTTTGATAGGATTAACTAATTGACAGTGTGATGCAACGGGCCTGTTGCTGGAATCACTGTCTTCACCTCTATCCAGATACTGGCCCCTGTTTCATCATAGTGACTGTTTTTGTACCCACACTGACTATCACACACAATGGCATCATACACTGTACACACAATCACCACAAAAGCTGCAGTGGGAGTTTCCTGCAAACTTGTCTGATTTCCTGTTAGTCATCCAGGGGAAGGTGTTATCTGCCAGTCACATCAGTGGGCTGTGCAAGACACTTTTGTCATTTTATTTGGATGAAACTGTGGAATGGTGCAAGACCCATCTGCCTGCTTTCTCACTCCAGTAGTGTTTTTCCAACATGAATGTCAAAGCAGCTAGTGCTCAGCATTTTATTTAGACCTGGACTGTAGTAACTGCATCTGCTAAAATGTGTACAGTAAGAAAGTTACTTCTGGGGTACAATGAATTTATTATCTCAGGCAAAAATGCGTTGTATGTTGGATGAACATGTAGAAACTGAGGCATGTTTGGGAGATCACAGCATATATTATTCTAAAGGGCATACTTGATCTGACTTGTGGAATGATCATTTTCGGCTAATCCTCAAAAATATTTGGGCCTCCCACAGCGGCGTTGCTAGGCCATCCGGCATATGTCTTCGTAACCCTTACCCCACTCTGTAGGCTGACATAGCCAAGATTATGCCCCAAAGCCATGCATGGTATTTTGTTCATTATATTAGGGCAGATTTTAATGTCACCATTTGTTTGTGACATTAGTCCTATCTTCCAGGTGCTCTCTTTATTTTCCCAGGTTTTGTGATATATCATATAGGTTCATATCATCCTGTAAGCAGACACTACTTCTTGGACAGAATTATTTGGTGATTGATGTCCCATCACTGCATTGGGTTGAACGTCTTCCCTGTGAGAGCAGTAATACGTCTAGACATTGTCAATCAGGATAATCTGGTAACTTCATATCTTGTTACTTATTTGTGTCCAGGGCTGAGATGTGCAAATAGTGAAGCTTCAACTCTAATCAAATTCGAATCGAATAGTGCCAAATAATGGCCGAAAAATAGGATATTGAATTGAATATAAATACCAAAATGTTTATTGTCAATATTCACAGAACTAAAAAAAGAAAGATGTTGTTTATTCTCTTACAAGGCACGAAATGAGAAGATATTATGAATAAAAATGGTGCTAATGTCCACACTTAAGACAAACTCAAGACAGCTGACGGATAAATTAACCCATCCCCCTGTAGATCGCAGCACGCTAGATAAATGGATGGATATGACTGAACCGTTTGAATCGGGTGACGTCTCACACCACCTAACCCTGGCAGCTATCTTGATGCGGAGGGGAGTGACGGGGTAGCAAGAGACACAAGTTATCAGTGTTATGTGTAATTCAATAATAATTTGTCATATTGTGGGCATAACAACTGAGATTAGGTTTCGAATGCACAGAGCTAACTAGAAGAGCCTTAAATTAAAAAAGGGCGACGTGCGGGGTTTTTTGGTTTTTGTCAAGCGCATCCAAGAAGTTTGGAGCGTGACTGCTTTGTTTGAGAAACACAAGAAACAAATACTTTCTGTCAAAATTGTTTGTTAGTCAAAGCTCCCGAGTGTAGACTTGATGTAGATCCGACACAAGCCTGTATAAGGACTATTTCGCCATATAAACTGCATTCCTGAATAAACATGAATTTTCGCCAACAGTATTAATATTCAAATATTTGAATTATTCAAAAACTCGAATACTAGGAATTCAAGAGCTGAATTAGAATGTTCAGGCAATCATTATTCAATTCAAATTTGAAACTCAAGTATTTGCACTATTCTCGTCTGAGGCATTTTCCAACAGTCTTCAAACCTTTAAAGTTCAAAGTCAACAAACTTTTGCAGTCAGTTATCATCCTGTGAATAATCTCATTTCCAGTTGGGTGCCCTTTACAAAACACCTGGTGACCATAACATATGTGTTCTCTCGAGCATTGGAGATAACTAAGAACTAAGCTCATTCTTCAAACTGTTCGGCAGTGCTTCATAACAGCATCATATTGGACATGCCTAGATTTTATTTATTCATCTGTTAATGACTTACAGCTGGAAAAGGGAAAGGGAAACAAAACACATTAATTTAGATGTTATTTTTCAAGGGTGCAATTAAAGAACTTGAAATATTTACATGGAACAGTTAGCTTTTTGTATGGGGAGTCTCATGAGATGCTTCAATTTCCTTAGCAACATCATTTACTGTAATGAAGTCAAAGCTAGAGGATCAGGACTGCTGCATGGGGGCCTTTCTGCCTGAAAAATTGTTTTAAGTCCTGGCTCCTTTGCTGGTATGGTCACTGCATTTGCCTGATTGTACCTGCCATTCCATCCCCACATTTCTGCCGATCGACCTACCACACAACTTAACAAGGACAAGCAAAGCCTACGTCAGCTCACAAATCTTAATTGTGGCGTGCCACCACAAGTTGTTGCTCATTCCTGTTTTAGATCTTGCACATCTTTCACCAAGTCGCTCATTCTGGCATTTAAATTTGGTGCCACATTTTTTACCTCTCATATTTTCAAATTTGAAGAAGTCAGTTACTGCACTGATTTCTGAGCCAGAGTTTGGTGGCCATTTATTTCGTAAAATGGGGATCCATCTAAAATATGTCCATTTCTTTTGCCCCCTGTGGCACTAAAATAAAATGGACAAGCTTTGTAGCTGACTCCACTGCTAGAAGCCAGTGAGCGTAGCAGGATAACCTTTTACATGTCAAAAGTAATATTATACTATCTTGTGATGGTTCAATTTAATGCATTTCCCAGTGATCCTGAAATCATATGATTATATAAAATAATTTCTGCAAAGATATCTATGAATATTGTTAATTTTTCTGGTGTCTCTTTTACTGATTAACAGCAATTCTGATCCCAAGCGTTTTGCAAACTTTTGTATGGATTTTGACCCTTATATTTAGTTGGCACGTCCCTCTGACATTGCTTAGCAGACACCTTTTGCAGTTTAGCTGAAGGTTTATTCAAGAAAGTCAGCTTGGATCATGATCTGTATATAGACGTCTTTCCCAAAACAAAATGTTTCATACAGGGTCTACATCACTACGATGTGTGCAGCCACAGCTGCGTGTGCCGACATCTTGCATCTAGTGTTGGCGTGTCCAGGGGGACCAGTCAAAGGTGTGGGCTAGCTAAAACCCCTTTTGTTGAAGGTGTGACAAGGTGAGCAGGGAGGAACAAATGTACCACGCCAATACCTCATACTCTGGCCCATGCTCATGTGTACATTATTGGTGTTTGAATGTGGACCACTACTACCTAAGGGTAGTACAGGTCGTGTGATATGGTGCAGTCTGGGGAAGCGTGTTTCAGCCAGGGCATTTCTTTCCGACGTCTTAACATGACAGCTACCGCCGCTGGTCAGGCATCCACATGTGGAGACTTCAGTTCACCATTTTGCTTCGTTTGGCCATCCATGTCTCTGTCCAAACTGCAAGATTTGAGTGGGTGGGATTTTGTCTGGAGTGATCTCGGTGACTGGTGTGGCAATGGCCTAAAACCCTGCGGCAACTCTGTGGTTGTGGGAAGGTTGATCCCATCTGGAATAGAAGCCAAAGACTGCACACACTGTCTATAATCTGTACAATACTTACAAATGTGTGTTATATTTTTAGAGTGTACATCTTCACAAATAAAGGGTTTGAAGAAATGTGGACATTCTTCCTGGCATGGTCAATGCTGGCTTTGAATTAACTATTCTATTAATAAGTAGTTGAAGTTATGATAATCATTGTTTACCTCAGTGCCAACATAAAGTATGCTCCAAGGCAACCGTATTGTCATGGAAGTGACTGCTAAAACAAGCTATAAGAAATGCATGGGCCATTTGAAACATAATTTGTTGAAAATTAGAGGTGCATCAAAGTAATTTGGAAATAACATGCTGGTACACTTGCGCTACAAGTGTGAAAGTCAAGTTTGGCACATACAGTGTTTGCATAAATCTGATGCACACTCCCCCCCCCCCCCCCCCTGAAATCAATGCCCAAGAATCCATGTGCACTTCCATCAAAACCAAAACTCAAAAAAAAAAAAAGTGGTGTATGGGGTTAGCCCCATCGCCATCGTGACCGTTCGTTTACATTCGTTGTTTTCATGTCCGGCCTGCTGTTCAAGATGAAAAAAAGAAAGAAAAAAAAAAAGATTCCACTTATTATTTGATGTTTTCTGTATTTCGTTTCGATTCAGTATCATTTTTAAAGGGATACTGCAACGAAATTTGAAATATAACCGTCGTGTTCAGAAATAGGCTGAATACGGACCACAATATCCGTAAATGACAAACAGATTATATTTTGACCCTGATGGCTGTATTTTTCGTTATAAACGGCCCACTCTGGCCAGCGCTCGGAGAGCAGCCATTGGAGAGCACGTCACAGTTGGCGGAATCGTGACGTAGTTTGTCTCGGGATGAGCAAAGCTGCGGCGAGGCTGACATCGTCAGGATGCCCTAGCCGTTCCAGCCACTGAAGCGGTCGATCGAAGCACGCCAGCGATTGGGCCATCGCAACCAGGACCAACTTGAATAGGGATCGCAACCAACTGCAAAGTTGCTTTTGTTTGAATATTGAGTGACGAGTCAATCTTCTATAATCTGGTAGAGGGAGAATAGCTATGTCTGAGACACACAAAAGAGTCCCGTTGAGGGAGAGTTCCTCCCGATTGTGCTGGCCGTAGAGCTTTCGGGTCGACGTCAAGGCGATACAGGCATCGTCATTACCTGTACAACTTTTCTTGGCAATGCAGTGGAGAGGAGGAAAGCCCGCGCATAGCTTTATTCAGCGCTCAAAATGGGAGAGGGAACGCGTGCCTGTACCCTCCACTGCATTGCCAGGAAAAACGAGGCTTTAGCGACAGCCACCAGGTGCTCCTTGCTAATCGTTTAATTTGTTTTGTAGGGACTGGACGCACCGACAAGCGAGTCCAGTCTCGCCACTGGAAAAAGAGAAAAAGACGCGCGCGCTCGCTATACGCTCACGCGCTCACGCGCTCACGAAGAGCGGTTCCTGACGAGACACCACTGAAATAGAACGTTGTTTTGGAACGTCCGTCTCCTGCCTGTTTCTTTCACCACATTTTCCTTTTTTGTGTCGTTTTTAACTAGATATTGGAGTGTCCGATGCGACACTGCTCCTTTGAACACGTATAAGCCAAAATACAAGTGCCGAAATTTTTCGTTGTATAGACCGTTCCATTAGGGTCATAGCAGAGAGGGTAAAAAGAGAAAAAAATACTCTCCCCCTCTGACCCGCATCTCGTCTGCTCCGCCGAGTGGGCTGTATCTAGCATCCGGCTGGCGTACAAACTCTGTTTAGAATCGCGTCATTTTGGAAATTTCAAGTGCAGATGCGCAGATTTTGGTATGCCAGTTATCGTGTATTACTATGCTAGATAAAAAAGACAGAGTCAAATTGCGCTGTTATCTGCGTGCAAATAAAAAAAAATGGGAAAACTGTGCCAGACGGGTTTACTACAGTTGATCGAATGCCAATTCATCGAAGCACGTTTTAGAGAACGGGCTCGTTTTATCGAAGTACGGTTTAGAGAAAGAAGAGACTCAGTTTAGAGAAACACCGTTTATCGAAAAGGGAACAATATTTAAAAAAGGCTTTCCTACTTCTCGCGTGTATCACTGGTGCGCGTGTTAACCCAAGCCCCCTGCTGCGCTCCCGCCGCTTCGTGGCGGCAGTCTGCGGCGGCTCATTACAAAAATGTTAACTCACCAGACTTATCCGCACACGCCGCTTCGCGGCGACAGAATTCGCTAAAAGGAGGCTCGTCGCCATTTTCTCTAAACTTGGTTTCTCTATAAAGGCATTCGATGAACTGGGGTCGATAAAACGGCGTTCGCTAAAACGAGCTTCTCTAAACCGCATGACTCCGGTGCCAGACTGGCCGCTCTCTCCGGCGAAAAGTGAATCCGGTGGCTGTACCTTTTTTACTATACAAAGCTCGTACCGGTGTAGGCCTTTAGCGACCATGATTGGATGTCTGAAATAATAAATAAAAACGTGCTCTGCTGCCGCAATACACGCAGTAGTTGAGGGTAGTACTGCCGGCTGACTCAACTGTTATTTAAGTAACGGAAAAAAGATATGTCAGTTGATCATTTACCGAAGTAGAACAACAGAGAGCTCTAGGCTGATTTTAGAGTAGCCATAACTATTCTGAGAACGCGAACCACTTCACAACGGCAGCCACGAGCGAGAGTTCGATGTTCCGTAGAGCCCGCCGATACACCCCAAAGATGGAGAATGGCAACCTCCCGTTTTGTCGTCTGCTAGCGGAGTCGGGCGCGTGCCCTCTCTCTCGTTTTAACCCGCCGAACCCGCTGAATTTCCCGGATGTATGGAGAGGGCGCTGTTGTCGAACAAAATGGTGCCGCCCAGAGAGCGCTAAATGGAATGGTCTATAGGGTCCGATCGAGAAAAGTAAACCCTACTTTTCGGCCCGCGTAAAAAAACTACGCATCGCAGAACGCTCAAACTCCGCCAGAATGTAACCCTAGCGGTCCAAGCAAGATGCCAAAGTTTCAGCCCGATTCGATAAATTAATCAAAAGTTATAAGTGATTTTCTGAAAATTTCAATAGGAAAATGGCCGCCGACGGAGTTTTCGAACACATGGGCAGGGTGTCAGATAGACAGGTGGGGAAACGAGAGCCAAATGAGCGACCGGATTGTGTCCCCCTCGGTTTTCTCTTTTTCTGTGGCGCCATCTATGTGGAGCACCGCGAACTCTCACTCCGGGTGGGCAACCGTTGGCGACCGGCTAAACTGACGGAGATGATTTCTCGTGAATTTTTCAATGAAAGAATGTCGTGCTCTCGGTTTATTTTGCGCACTCTCCCATAAAGTTCCATAAAAATTTGATTCCAATTTTTTTCCTCTCGCCGCAGCGCCATCTGTCGCAAATCGAGGGCACCCGCAAGCAGACGAGTACACAATCCGGTCACGGCGCTGCGGTAGGCTTCTATGGGCCGTTTCCCCACCTGTCTATCTTACACCCTGCACATGGGGCTCTATGACAC